GAACCCTGGTGGCTGGGTATTAGGTGGGAGAGGTCTCAGCCTGGGCTTTTACAGCCAGTTCAGTCAGTGTCAGAGCTGAAGGGTTTCACCAGAGGTGCAGGAGGTGGGTTGCCAAAGTGGTATTGTTCTAAGGAAGTAGAGCAGCTTGGGGGGCAGGAGGAGGAGGGAGTTGTGTTTGTGAATTTTAATTTTTTCCTTGGTTTTTAACTGGCAGATCTGGATTCAAGCCTTTGTTTTATGTTAAGCAGGAAAGATTTGAAAACAGGCAGATAAGCCTTTCTTTGTTCTGATCTTTACATTTCCTGCAGGTTAAAAATTCTTGCATAGTTTATTGCCTTTTGTGAGTGCCATTATAAAAGCTCAAACTTTTCCCTTGCCTGAAAGTCAAAATATTATAGTGTTGCAAGTGTTCGTAGCACGGGGTATATTCTGATGCTCACAGATCTGCAGAATATCCATTTACAAAATGCATGCCCTTGGATTCAGTGGCACTATGCTAATTGGCTCTGCACTCTGCAGTCAGTCCCCTTTTCCTATCTCAAGGTACTTTGGAAGGCTTCTAAAAGGGATGTGCTGTACCACCTTTATCCTTTTCTGTGGATTTAACCCAAAATATCTATGTACAGTTAGCTCTTCCCTCCTGTTAAAGGATGGTGAAGTCTTAAGATATACCTTGTCCGTTTTTGTAGCTAATTATGTGCCTGCAGGATAGGCTTTTTCTGTTGGAAGTTAAGTCTTTGTGTCTGTTCCTTCTGGAGATGTGTTTCAGTGGATAAATCTCCTTTTAACTTGTGCTGTGTGATCTTAGTGAAATTCAGCTAATTCAACTCAATGAGCAATGTTTTGTCTGGATAAAAAAACAAACTAGAAACATTATTCACTCTCTTCCCTTTTATGCTAGTAAGCTGTGGCCAGAAATGACCTGTACATAGTGAAGCTCCTTGTGGAAGTGCTTTCAGACCTTACTGTGCTTTTCCCTCTTCCCCATATTACAATTTTTTTTTTTTTAAATAAAAAATTTCAGTTTTCTTATTTGTGTTGTTGGTTGGTTTTTAGTATAGTGCAACCAGTTACAAGAACAGATTTCCATATTTCAGTGAAGTGGTACCTGTTTGGCTAATGACTAAGAGGGTAAAAGGATGTGGTGGCAGCTGTTTCCTCTGCTTGTATTTTGGAAGTAACTGACATAAGACATTGCACTCTAAGCAGAAGTTCAGAGATGCAAATCCCAGACAGATGCAGCTTAGTTTTTGCAGTTAAAGCTGGAAGAATAGGGGTGAGGAAGGGATTTGTGGCTTAATGATGTGCTTCCTATGGTTCGTGCTGAAGTGTGGATGTTTCTTGGATCCTATTCTTAACTATTCAACAACTTTCAGAGAAAGTTAAATGTGTGTTTTTTTGGCTTTTTCTTTGGTTGTTTTTGTTTGTGGTTTTGGTTTGTTTTGTTGTGTTTTTTTTTTTTTGTGGTTTGTTTTTTTTTCGGGGGGGGGGGGGAGGAGTGGAATGTTGGGGTTTTTTTTGTTTTTTCCATACCTTGCTCCCAGAACATAAACACCATAAAACAGTAACCCAAACCATGGTGCTAATAAATTGCAAGGTTTGATTTTTGTGTAGAATTTTGAGGGACTTTATTTTGTGTTTTATTAAAGGCTTGTCAGAAACATTGTTTTAGAATCATGGTTACTTTTATGACTGAAAGAAACTTACTGTCAAAGAATCCTTGGTAAATTATCACTAGGTAAGAAAATGCTTTGTATTAATTAAAATCCAGAAAGCGACTGTATCCTGGGCTGCATCAAAAGGAATGTGACCAGCAGGTCGAAGGAGGTGATCCTGCCCCTTTGCTCTCATGAGACCCAGGAGTATTGTGTACAGTTCTGGTGTCCTCAACATAAGAAAGACATGTTGCTGTTGGAACAAGACCAGAGGAGGGCCATGGGAATGTTAAGGGGTTTAAACTTTAACTGTGGAAATTAAGGTTAGATATAAGGCAGAAGTTCTTTACTTGTAAGGGTGGTGAGGCACTGGAATGGGTTGCCCAAGGAAATTGTGAATGTTCCATCCATGGCAGTGTTCAAGGCCAGGTTGGACAGAGCCTTGGGTGACATGGTTTAGTGTGAGGTGTCCCTGCCATGGCAGGGGGGGTTGGAACTTGGCAATCTTAAGGTCCTTTCCAACCCTAACTATTCTATGATTCTATGAAAAAAACTTGGTAACATAAGAAAAGCAACTGGCCTGTAAATTAGCCAGTTATAAAAAATTACCTGAGTGTTGTGGTTATCTTTCAAGTGAAGGAAAAGAGGGCATTTTTTACACTCCTTTGAGTTTTGATTATACAGTATAACTGAGGACTTAAGAAATACTAATTTCCAGGTGAAGGTACCAACTTTATTCCATAGTTGTATTTGGATGCAGCACATCTTCTGCATTGAAGGGCAAGAATCTTAATTGCTCAAGGGTAAAATTAAAAGCAGATAGTAGTGAACAAATATGTAATCAGAGCAATTATAATTAATTTCCAAATTGTTATCATAAGTCTACTTTCTTCTTCTCAAATCACCTCTTTTCTTCAGTCAGGGTGTAACATCCACTGCTGTTCTGCTATAACCTCTCAGTAAAAAATACTTTGTTCATCTGGTAAACCATCAGGAAAATTCTTAAACCTCCTCAACAGAGGTATAACTGAAAGAACACTACCTCTGTCCATGGTGTAAAAAATGCAGCATGAAAACTGAGTGATAAATTAAGATATATCATTGTATGGAAAGGTAAAGACAATTCATCTATTTTAGACTTTGAATGGCATCAGTAATGCCAGTGATGAGGTAGAAAGAGAACAGAAGTCAAAAATGCTTCCTAAGACAAGAGAGGTCAAAAATGGGACTTTTCTCTTTTATGATGGTCTCTTGTATCTGCTAATGCAGACTATGAATATCCAAAAAGAGTAAATAAACTTGAAATCAGAAATAATATGGTATTACTTGATGTGCTACCACCTTTTGATTTTGGGGTCTGAGAGGGTAGCAACAATTCTGCTGCTTATACTTAGTTTTCTGCATTTTACTTCACTATGGAACCTGGATCCAGTCTAAATGATAAATGTTTTGACAGTAAAAATAATTATCTTTATGAATAATCTACATCTAGCCACTCACAGCTCTGCTGGAAAAATGCAGTCTACCATAATCTATCACTGGATCAACTACTCTGCTAGCATGAGTAATGCATGGCTTTGCCAAACAGCCTCCAGGGGCCAGTCCTATGTTATTGCTGGCCTGTCATAATTTTTTGATGTAGTTTTTACAGGTATTGTTCTACTGTCCTCTTAGAAGTTAAGACATTTCCAGAGGCATGTGAAAACAAGAAACCACTTTCAGGTATGAATTCATCTTGATTTTCATCAGTGAAGCTGGCTATTTTCTATACAACAGAACATGCACAGTCTTTTGGAGAACTTTGTAAGGAGAAAGAACCAGGGGAGAGTATCATCTTGCTTAGTGCAAGTCAGATGGAGCTAGAAAATAGCTTGGACAGAGAAGTATTAGGGGAAACATGAGAAACCACTCTACACTAGAAACTACTGCACCAAGAAACTTTTCCCTGGAGTCTGGTTTATATGGTAACTCCGCAGTCCCAAATGCCTTTAACTCTAAATGCCAGCTTAAAGCGTACCACAATACTTCTTTCCTTCAGCCGCTACAGGTCATGCCTCTTGTTTAGCTTCCATTCTGACCTGCATTTCTTGTAGTGCTCAGCAACTGTGCATCAGTTCTCTGTGGGTTTGTTTTCCAGAAGTGTGTATTTTTAATTCTGAAGAAGAGTAGTTTTTAAGTTCTGCTCTACCCAGCAGACTTGACACCCCCATCTCCTTTTTAGCTCAGCATTTATTTACCACATGCCACTCAATGACGGCAAACTATGCATGTACTCTTATGAAACCATAGTAGTGTCACAAAAAGTTTCACGTCTTAGCACTCTCTAATACTGGTGTGTGACCACTTCAAAAGCAGATCATTCTGCAAACATTCAGAAATCTTATGGTGTTGATAATCTGTCAGAGCAGTGTTAAGAGTAATGGAGAAGTAGACTTATTACTCCCAGTGCTCTTAAGGCACACAAATAGAGGTAATAAAACTGCAGTTTACCCAAACTCAAGCAAATTAACAAAAAGTATTCAATATAGCACCACACAAAAGGTACACTGTGCTCTGTGTTGCGTTTATAGAACATGCCAGAGCACTTTCAAGCTAGAAAAACTAATGTAAAAAGCTTTGTTTATCAGCAGAGCTTACCTTTTACTATTTAGAGAAGCTATTCTGAAAGAACCACAACTTTTGTATGTAATGGTTTAATGGTCTTCCAGGCAGATTAAGCACTGTTCCCTTACCCATCAGTTCTCTTTCATCTTCCAGGATTTGAGCCTTGTTCAAAAAAATGTCACTAAAACCAAGATGTTTTCAGGAAGAGCCTTTGGTCCATAACTCTTACCAGCAGATCCAACTGACAACATACTAGTCAGCTGCTAAATTCTGTTTCTTAAAAAAATAACAGAATTTTGATCAATGGTAATGGTGTGAATTTGGCTCTAGGAATCAATGCCAGGCAAATTGAGGGAGATTTGGAATCGGCTCTTAATTGTGTCTTGGGTGCAAAGATAAGGAGTACATACTTGATAATATTAGCGATAAATTGCATCATAGAAAAAAGATGGGTGATTTTGAAGGGTCATTTACTCCCTCTCCTCTTTCAGTACAGATTCTTATACTATAATTAAAATTATTGAAATTATTTCAAATATAAGGTGCTTCTAAAACCCATGGCAGGGGCTTGGAACTAGGTAAATCTTTAAGGTCCCTTCCAAGCCAAACCATTCTATTTCATTCTAACATATTTATTGGTCCCTCATATTCCTTATAGCTAAACTTTGATTCTTAGCATGAGGTGGTCAGATTAAGTTCTGTATATTACTTGCTACACCATTACACTTACATTAAATTGGCTTTTTACTTTTTTGTAGTATAGATCAACTGGAAATATTTATATTTTGTCTGAATATGGAACACACAGATGTTTCAGAACATCCTTTATTTGATGCATCTTGCAGTTAGAGAAAGGCCAGTTTGCATAAAGGGAACCTTAGCAAGTCAACAATAGTAATAGAGCCATAGTCAAACAAAAGTGTGGAATGGACTCAGTGCTAATGCATATAAAGAGAGAGTATTGAAAAACTTTCTAGGCTTCCAGCTTCACTGATTCCAGTATGGAAAGTGCTTCTTTATACTCTTCGGCTTCTTCCAATTCTTTTTCTTTTTCCTGGAATCAAAAGCAAAATTACTGAGTACTTTGAAAATAACTGACATATTAAATTTAAGAAGGTAAGGGGGGGGGAAGGTAAAAACAGGCTGGGAGAAGGCTGAAGCACTCAACAACTTTTTTGTTTCAGTCTTCACTGGCAGCCTCTCTTCCCTCACCTCTCAAGTGGACAGACCACAAGACAGGGATTGGGGGAGCAAAGCCACTCCCACTGAAGTGAAGGTCAGGTTCTTGACCACCTGAAGAATCCAAACCTACATAAGTCTATGGGACCTGACCAGATGCATCCCAGAGTCCCAAGGGAACTGGCTGATGTAGTTGTCACGCCAGTCTCCCTGACATTTGAAAAGTCCTGGCAGCCCGGTGAAGTCCTGGAGACTGGAAAATAGGAAACATTGCACCCATTTTTAAAAGGGTAGAAAAGAAGGAACCTGGGAACTAGCAACCTCTCAGCCTCACCTCTGTGCCCGCGGAGACCATGAAACAAATCCTCCTAGAAGCCACACTAAGGCACATGGAGAAGTGGAAGGTGATTAAAGACAGCCAGCATGGCTTCATCAAGGGCAGTTCCTGCCTGACCAACCTAGTGGACTTCTGTGATGGAGCGACTACATCAGTGGATAAGGCAAAAGCTACCGATGTCGTCTATGTGGACTTCTGTAAAGCCTTTGACATGCTTCCCACAACATCCTTCTCTTTAAATCGGAGAGGTATGGATTTGATGGATGAACTGTTTGGTGGATGAGGAATTTGTTGGATAATCGTACCACCCAGAGAGGTAGCAGGCATTAGCTCAATTTCCAAATAGAGATCAGTGAAAAGACGGTGAAAATATACCACTAGAAAGTTGATTTTAATAAAACCATTGAAGGTAGGTAAGCACAGAAAGCAGTTCTTGAGGACTTTTAAATTCTTAACCGTAACTACTCCATTCCCTGTTTTAAGTTTGTACAGCACACACTGTATGGATCAATAGCACCACTTCTGCATGATGCTGAAATCCAGACCAGTTAACCCTTAAGTAACTAGTTCAATAACTAGTACAGGCATACTACCTGAGGATAAGACACCTTAAGTTTTCCTTTGAGAAGGGACTTGCATTTCAGCCATCAAATGTGTGTGGGGCTTAATTTAGGGTATGTATTTTTAGCCTCACAGTAGCATTTACATTTGTAGCTGATTTCCTGATGAGAAGGCAGCTTTTTAAAATAAGCATCATGATGTCTAAACTTAGTATAATTTTAGTGATACTATTTGTATAAGAAACTCTTTATTCCTGAAGGTATTGTATCTTAAAAATGTGGCACTAGTGCTCACATCACTAGCAAAATGTAAAGCAGTACTTGGCAAGGACTTTGATGTCTTGTTTCTTATTCATAGCGCAATAAAAGTATTCTGAATGTTTCGGTTCACTAGAAGCATGTTATGTACATCTACACTATTTAGAAAACTACCTAAAGTAGGCGAACTCTTTTTTCTGATTATGTAACTAATACAGAAATTCAGAGTCCATTCTAGCAGTTCAATATATAAGAGTATGTTGAGTGTACATTCCATTAAAGACAGCTTCTAAAATTCTAACACACACAGGTTTTACAGACTGAAGACCAAGTCTCCAAAGACAGTTATCTAAAATGAAATATTGGTATGTTATAGGATACTAGTCTTGGGACCTATAAAAAGTAATTCGTCAGTCCTAATTTGCTGCAGTTGCACTGCAGACAAGCATATTTATCCGAGTTCATCAAGGAAGAGCAGCATTTCTTGATCAGTGGGTTATGGTGCCATACTTACTAGTAGCTGAGTAAGATCTGCATGTGCGGCTTCTAATCTGCGCTGGCAGTCTGGAATCATCATCTGCGACTCTTGTAAGAGCTCAATCTATGAAAATCAGAAGCCAATGAGATAAGAATGTATTCCAGATAAGAATATTTATTTTTTAAGGTAAGCCTTTACTCTGAAAAATCAATCTAGTCATCATCTAGGAATTCAGAGCAGTTGTACCTATTTCTGGAACAGGCTTTTTTATTAAAAGACACTCAGCATAATTGCTTAAAACTCTGTTAATTCATAGGACACTTCCATATACTTTGTGCTTAATTAAAGTATTAAGTGTGAAAAATTATTTAGAATATTTTTCTCTTGAAAAAAAAAAAAAGTATTGCCTGGTAAGCTTTCTGTACAGCATTTGTTAAAAAGGCTATTTAAAACAAACTTTCTCCTGCTGTCATGAAGCAGCTTCATCCAAAATGGGATCAGCTGGTTATATAAATATCTCCTACATCTTTTGGGTAATAAAGAAAAACACTGTTCAGATAATACCACATAGAGATAATTACTGCATGAAAAAAGTTATTGAGTTATTGATCACATTGTGTGCACACTGCAGGAGGCTCTGACTGAAAGACAAAGGTAAAGAAAAATGAAAAGCAAAGACCAGCAGGCTCATATTTTTGATGCTTATCATGCATAAAAAGTTATTACTTATCCTTGTGCTTCATTTTAGGAGAAAGATTATTCTCACCATGCACTTTGAGCAAAATTACTAAACTGGCACCCCACTGAATCTGAAAATCCTGCCTCCTCCTAAAGAAAACAACTACGGAGTTAAACAAGGGCATATTTATTTCATGGAACATTTCTGGATCCGAAATCAAACCACTAAGAAGAAAAGGTGTGCAGAGTTGTTCAGTAATATTAAATCTATTTAGAAATGAAAATCTGTTAGATATTTAAATATGAAAGCTCCTCTGCATCCAGGACAACCTGCAACAGAAGGCGTTCCCTTTAAATGACTTACTTCATTCTGTCATTACTATGTTGTATTCTCCTTTCAGTATTAATGCATATAGGAAGGCCCTCTGTAGTAAGACATTATCACCGTATTTTTTAAGTATCATATATTTAAGTTCTTAGTTCAAGTACTTTTTAAGAGAAAGGGTTTAAAAACTTCGTTTCCAGTTTTCTTTCAGAGGATCTAGGGTAAAACCTGTCTGATGATGCAAAGATGGGTGACAAATGTTAAAAAAAAAAAACAACAAAAAACCCCACACAAAGTTCTAGGTCTTGTTTGTATTATCACTTTTCTTTTACCCATTCATTGTTGGACTATTAAAAGTAAGACTAGCAACTCTGCATATTACACTTTCAGCAGTTAAGGAGTAAATAAAGGTTTTTAACTTCCATAGAACGAGGTGTACGGTAAACTGCTTGAGATGATGCCTTCTGCTTTATGTAGTAAAAATGTGTTCTATAAGGAATACCCACACAAGTGGGAGACAACCCTCTAGATGTAATGCCTCAGTATTTCAAAAGAGCTTTCTCTGCAGCTCTTCTTAGGTGAGGACTAATCTTGTTTCTTCTACAGCAGATTGCTTTAGGATATAAAAGGCATGAAGTCTGGAAACCAAAATATACTTACACCTGCCTAGATAAAAAGGAAAACAGCCTTTAGAAAACAAGGGGAAAAAAGTTCACAGTAATGATCTACCATCATCTAGTCTCTTTCAGATGATACATGAGGCAATAGAACCAACATTTGAAGGCATTTTTAATACCAGATATATGTTAGGAATAGAATTCTGTACTTAGTACAAAAACTTCCAAGTTGCTAGCTTTAAAGGAAGCAAACCTTACTTGTTAAGGATGCTGTCTAAATAGATACATGGGAGCATTAGACTCTTCATAAGCATTTCAACTGCCTCTTTACCTAACCAAATAGAGCTGAAGTTCAGATTATTAAAACAAAAACTATCTCTTTAAAAAATATGAAAATAACCAGACTGAAAGTGAAACTGTATGTTTCATCTAACCTTATTGTACTTGATTGGTGAGAGGAATGAACCTTTGTTTGTACCAGTCAGGTGGGGGCAGAAAGAAGGAAAAACGTAAAAAGCCAACTGAACTGGAATATTTCTCTGAGACAGAGAATATATAGACATTTTAAATTGAAAATGTTACAGAACATAACTATGTTTCTTTCAGAGAGCACGTCTCCAGTATAAAATTAGCAACAAATTATCATCTTCTACAGTAATTTTCCAAAACAACACACATTGGTTTCAAATGTATTTAACTGTTTCAGGAGACACTCTACCTTTCACTCAACAAAGCAAGAGAACTACTGCTGTTTTCACTGATACTTGTAAAAACCTGTGTGTTAGCAAGATGTACTTTATGTACTCCTGTGTACACTTTGTCATGCAGATACCAAATTATGTTAGATCCATTGGATACTTAATTCACTAGGAGATGACATCCTCAAGGAGTAATTTGGAACTGTAGGATAACTTTAAAAAAGTAAAAAATTATCAGTAAAAATTCTGGCAGTTAACAGTGAATCTACAATGCCACTGAAAGGAAACGAGGAGTTAGTACTTCCGGCTTTTCTCACATTCAGTAGCCTAAAAGCATTAGCTGGGAAAGGATGTTTATTTATGTATGAAACACCTCAACAACCACAGAAATACATAAAACTACTGGTTCCTATCATTAGTCTGCATTCTTAAGTGATTACAGTGAGAAAAGTTTCTATTACAGGTAAAGTCTTCATACACTGATAATCATTACAACTGTGAAGAAACTAAGTCTTCATTATGAAAACTCCACACAGAGATAAAATTGCACTACTTACTGCTACCAGTCAGGGCTCTTCGTGACCCTCCACAGAAGTATATGCAGAATTACACCTGGTGGAATATATCAAGTCTCAATATTTTTTCCTAATTTTTTCAAACTTGATAAAATTTTGTATAGAATACTTTTTAATAAAATTATTTTCAATTTAGTATTTTATTAAAGTACTTAATAAACCTTTTTCCTACAAGTCTTCTAGTTGAATATAAGTGTGATTTTGAGATAGGAAAGTTTTTATTTCATAGCCTACTTTTACCCAAATACTGCTCTTCAATTTTTATGGTCTTTTTCTACCATTTTGGTTCAAATTAAGTTCTAAATTTCTCATCTGCCTTAATAAATAAAAACCAGACAATAGCAGAGTGATGTTCAGGTTGTTGTTGATTTGTTGCTGGTTGTTTTTTGTTTTTTTTTTTTCCACATAAGCTGTGATGGAAACAAAAGGGCTTCCTTGCCTCAAAATGCTAGAGATTCTTTCACTCTGATATACAACCTACCACAAGTAGCTCTCACCCAGCTCAGACTCAGCTGAAGTACATGAATTGCAACTTGCAAGCAGTGCACATACAACCTGTGCCCAGGACAATAGCAATATAGGGGTGTTACAGGTGAATAGCAAGTGCTGACCCCTCAGGTATATGGCACAACATTGACTGACTTAAAAGGTCTGGCTTTATTGAAAGCATAGTGTTACCACGGTGGGAGCCACAGGACGCTGATGCTAATCAAAATGGGGAATGCAGCAGAGCCCTGCTTGGGGGTGAACAGTAAAACATGCACTGATTAACCTGTCATACACATACAATGGCCTGTTTTGCTCTTCAGTGAACTTGCTGAGGTATGGCAGGTGCCACTGTCCAAATTCCAACCCACCATCATGCTGCTGCCTGTACAAAGGTGGGAGCAGATGGGGGGGGAAGCAACATACCCTGGTTTACCATAACAATGAGATAACACAGGCCTGGGACTCTGCATATTCAGATGTGAGGAAGAGAACTATCCTGGGTTACCGTAACAGTCTTCTCATGCCCTCCAATAGGTTCTTCAAGTAATAATCTTGGTCAGTGAATACCAGCACTGTGATAAACTGTCCTTTATGTTTCTCTGATGTTGAATCTGGTCCTTGTTAAGTAAGTCTTTCTGTACAGTGTTAACAACTTCCAACTACCCCAGCTGGTCACTACCTCTGCTGGAGGCCACTGGAATTCACAGAAACAAGCTGCCCCACTGCATAAGGAGTTATGAGAAAAATACTTAGTCAAACTCAACTCTTGTTCTACAAAGGGACTGATCCCTCAGTACAGGCCAAACACAACCTAAAATCTACATATGCTGTAGGGACAGCAATACTAATTTTAAAGTACAGTTTTCCATAGTCACTTGTGTACTGTTAAACCATATGTTCTACTGCAGAGTTGTAATTAGTAAGCTAAATAAAAATATTATTACATTAAAAGGTAAGCATCTCTCCTTTAACCCTGGATTGATAAGTATGTACATACCTGATTTAGCCGATACCTCATTTTTTCATTATTGAAAGAAAGACTACAACCATATTTTTAAATACATAGTTATTCAGATTAGGAATTATTAACTAAAAGCAATTCTTAAAATGTGTAACCACAGATTTTTTTTTTTCCTGAAGAACATCTCAAAGTATTAACTCTATCCAAAACACGGTTCTGATCAAGCTCTCCTGTTAATATGTAATTTTCTTTGATTCTATAAAAAGAGTGTGCATTCTTTCTGAGCCTACAAATTCTTCATAACCTGAAATATTACCAACTTCCAGAATGAAAAGTGCACTAAAAGAAGAAGAACTGAAGGTGTCATTGAGGAAACTGATTGCTTTCAAAGTGAATCAGGCAATTTCTGAATGAATCGAGACTGTTCTCTGTGAAGGCTTTTGTCATTGGTCTCTGAGAATACCTTCAGGTACTGTGCAACATTTCATTTCACAGAAGAAGTTCACAGCCTCTGCTGGTTTTGACTTTGATGATATCTTGCAGGTCACTGCGGAAATACCACGGTGCAGTCAAATAATCTGATAAATGTGGGACACTAAAAATGAGAATTGCATTCATTAGTTCTTGTTAGCACCAGCGGATTTTCAGAAAGGCTACTGTTCAGTAGGATCTTGGTGTCTCAGACCATGGTGAGGCAGAAGAACAGCTCAGCCCTATAAATACAATTCTTATTTGTATACAAATTCTTTATTTGCATTTCTTTCCTACAGCATAACAAAAGCAAGGCTAGTCATACACACATGAACTGAAATCTGAACTTATTAAAAAAAGTTGGTTTAGCTTGTTTTAAAAGGTCTTTCTCCTCTCTTTTTTATTTTTATATTTGAGTATACTGAAACCTACTTTTCCACCATTTAAAAATGAAGATTGGAGAACAGTAGGTTACATTTTATAATGTATAATAGTAAAAAAGTTAAAATAATCTTAATTTACAGTTTCAGGTTCTCTGAAGACTTAAGAGAAAACAACTGGGAAATGCTTGGAAAAAGACCCAATCATAGTCAAAAGATTTAGTTGAAAGAATATAAAGGCCACAGTTAAGCACGTGTCACTCTTCAGTAAAGAATAAACACGAATCTCCCAAACCCAAGCATTTTCCCAGTTAGAAGGAAACTTGCCACTCTTTCTCCTGCCAAAAGGCTATATAACAACCATCTGCAGACACTATCCTTTGAAAACTTCCAAGAACAATTTAGTTGTTTAGTCATATTGTAACAGTGACATCAAAATGTACTCTTGAACAGATTAAACTATAGCATACACCTTGCTAGTTGGAAACTTCACTACAAACTCTAACATCTGGTAGGAGCAGTTGCATACCCATTGCTCTCTCTTTTAGGTCCATGATTTAACAAAAGGGACACTAGTATACTCGCTCAGGAGTTGAAATGTTTCATGTTCGTATTAATTATCAAACAGCCTCACTTCATTGTAACACCTGGATTTACCAGCAAGCAAGCACTTAGTTTACCTAAATGCCAGACCATGTATATATGGCCTCATACACACTGTTAGTGAGTGACAGCCATCCTGAAACCAAGTACTACATAATCCATAAGGTCTCCTTATAGTTTAATAGCTCTGGAGTACAGGAAGCTCTACAAATGCTTACTATGACTTTTATAATTGACACAATTTTAGTGTAGTACTTATATAACAGGAGTCTGGAAAAAGGTAGATTATTTTATTTGAGGATGACTATTGTTAAATGAAAGCAAAGAAGGATTTTATAAAACAAGTTTTAGGATATTTTACCTGCTTCTTAATTCCATAATCATCAGATGCTTCAGCTTTCATTTTTTTAATCTTTTCTTCTTGCTGTTTTACTTCATTTTCATACATAACTTTTTCTTTTGCCAATCTGCAATTAAATCAAGTGATTGTGTTAATCTGGTTATATTATAGTAATAAGTTACACTATTGATAACACAATTCTGAAAGTTGCAGACCTATAAGGTAATGAACAGTTTTACTAAATAAAGATTTTTAACCACTGCAAAAAACTGCATCTAGGAAATGCTAAGTTTAGCTGTGATGCATAATGATGCTTATGAGGATAATTTAAATTGAAAGTTTTCTTAAAGATTCTGTGTAGATTTACCCATATTGAATATCCTTAGAAAGCTATATCCTGGTACTTAATTTCAAATACGTAACAGAAATAGCTAAGATGCCTTGTAGATTGGATAAGTGCTAACAAAGGCAGTAGTACAGAGAAGAAAGCAATCTATCTCAGAAGTGTCCTCACATCACAGGTAGCCAAAATAAACAATATGAAATGTCTGCAAAGAAAACACTGTTATCATCAGCTATTAGATCAGCACTTGCCAGACCTTCTCAATATCATCCAGGTTCTGACAGTTTCGCAAGTGTCCTATATTGTTCCAGTCAGCTGGTGTTTCCTCTTTCATATTCAATACTAAATAACACCACTACACCTTCATTATTAGACAAATGACAGACATCCTTCTTAGTAGTAACACTGAAAAAAGTTATAATGTGTAACTGAAAAGAAAAAGCCCTTTTAGGTTCAAAAACTGTGACCCCAGAATATTTTTCTCCTGATTACTACATTTCATGCCATTAAGTGCATTACTTCCCAAACTAGTTTTCATACAAAACAATGTAAAATAAAATTCTGAAATTACATAGTAGCCTTAATCTTGTGTTCCTTTGAATATTTCTCCATTTACCTTGATGCTGATTTGGGGGTTATACACAAAATGACAGTTCCATAATTTCAATCATAGCCATTTTGTTTATGGCCTCTCTTTCAAAGGACTAGAGTCCATCTTTGAATCCTAATAATGGACCCATACTTCAGAATGGAATGCTTTTTTTTTTGCTAACAAGCAAAATTAAATGTTGAGAGCAATGTAAATACTTCTGGAGGTCAGAAGGGAATATTAAGGTGAAGTCTAGTCTGATGCCTTACAGTAATTTTCACACTGCAACCCATTATCCAACTTTATTATTGCTTGTTAGAATCACAGAATCATAGAATAGTTAGGGTTGGAAAGGACCTTAAGATCATCAAGTTCCAACCCCCCTGCCATGGGCAGGGACACCTCACACTAAACCATATCACCCAAGGCCTCCTCCAACTTGGTCTTGAACACTGCCAGGATCACCTCCTTCGATCTAGTGGTCACACTCCTTTTGATGCAGCCCAGGATAAGGCTGGCTATCTGGGCTGTGAGAGCACACTTCAGCCGGCTCATGTTAAGTTTCTCATCAACCAACACCCCCAAGTCCTTCTCCACAGGGCTGCTCTGAATCTCTTCTCTGCCCAACCTGTAGCTGTGCCTGGGATTGCTCTGACCCAGGTGTAGGACCTTGCACTTGGCATGGTTAAACTTCATGAGGTTGGCATCAGCCCACCTCACAAGCGTGTTGAGGTCCCTCTGGATGGCATTCCTTCCCTCCAGGGTATCAACTGAACCACACAGCTTGGTGTCATCGGCAAACTTGCTGAGGGCGCACTCAATCCCACTGTCCATGTCAGCAACAAAGATGTTGAACAAGATCGGTCCCAACACCAATCACTTGTTACTGGTCTCCAGGCGGACATTGAGCCATTGACTACAACTCTCTGCGTGCGGCCATGCAGCCAGTTCTTTATCCACTGAGTGGTCCATCCATCAAATTGATGTTGCTCCAATTTAGAGACAAGAATGTCATGTGGGATGGTGTCGAATGCAATTGTTACTTCAATTTTGCTGTTGCATCTTCCACTTTATTGCTTACATTCATTAGGTAAAACACTGGATCACGTAATGCTAGATCTGAACCAAAACATGCTCCCGGATCTTGGGAATTACAAAGTAATTTCTGATCAGTTAATTCAAGACCAAACTAAACATTGATATGCTACTGCAAACCTGAGAGCATGCCAAAGAAAATCCTTCCCAAACAAGAATAAGCATCAGATCAGCCCATGTAAGATTGTTTAAGGAGGACTTAACAGCCAAAATGGACACAATTACATTCAAGAAGCAAAAAATATATTATACAAATGAAAACAGGATAAATAAAGGCCTAGTAGAGAGAGCTTCATGGTCATGTTAGCGCACTAGAGCAAATCAATTCTTAATTTGTCACAGTTAAGTACCCTATTAGAATTTCTAGTGCTGAGGATGGGCTGAATGGTACTGGGGTGACAAGAACCTTTTATGAAGTGAAGCTGCTATAAAAGCATCACTGCAGTAGTATCTTGAGAAAAATTCCAAAGAGCATGTACTGATATTGCAACAGTAGGAACCTTCCCTGCTTTTATTAGGGCTTACATCAATCAAAAAAGTTTTTGCTAAAATAGCCTTAAGCTATGGCTCCACAACAGATGACATAAGTTAGGCTGTGACAACATGCACCTGAACTCATCTCAACGCTCATGGAGTCACACCATCAGAAAGGGCCTTCAGCCTTACAAAGAACCTTTAAGCAGCATACAGAGCATGTACTGTAGGTATCGATAAGACCAGTTTCTACAAGTCAGCCAAGTACTGGCTTTGAGAAGAGTACTAGGGAAAGACAACTTAATTACTACTAATAAAGACACTAAATCAGTGGCTGTAATTTCAACTACTGGAACTAGCTCCAGCATTAGTATCAGCAGATATCAGCAGAATAGAGGATTAGTTAATTGTTTGATCAAGGTTACTTGATTTAAATCCAGATAGTATTACTTGGTTTGCTATTTTTAGGTTCCAAAAAAGTTAATTTTAATCAACCTATGAGACACATGATTTTTTTTTTGAATGAGAACAGCAAAGAAGATCAGGGAAAGATAGGATTAAATGCAGCTTTTATGTCAATTTGCATACTGAAGTGTGCATGCCATTGAAACTGAAGGCAACTTACAATCACTAAACCCATCATTTTTAATTATTTTCTTAGCTAAAAAAAAAAAAAAAGCACAATGTTTGTCATTACTTGTGTTTTCACATTATAGTTTGATATTCTCATGTCGCTCTATGCACACTTTTAAAACTGATTGATATTCAATTTTCCTTACTCTTACCAAACAGAAAAGGCCCACATGTTCTAGCCTTGGTTAGAACTTAATTTAACTTGATTTTTTGCCCATATTTCTCATATTTTAATACTTAAGAATTGCATCCATATTTATCTACCTATTTCTAGTTCTGTAGTAATTGTACATTTCAGAAGCAGAACTTGAAACATTCTACTTTCAAAACAGGAACACATGACACCTGAAGTATGAGACAATTTTCTGTGAAAATTTTCCACTGAGCTTTTCTCCGTAATCAAAATGATCCAATTTAATGTTCCATTTATCATTTGTAAGATTGGGATGCTGATGTTTAATGCTATCAAGTTTTGATTTGAAAACATTTCCTGTATTAGACTGTTTGTCTAAATGTCATGAAGGCATTTCTACTGAATATGTAGCCTGGGGAGATACTGAATTAAATCAGTAACTTGCTTTCAAAATGGAAGTGGAATTTCATAATGCAGTAATACTACCCCTTACTCACCACCTGAAAATTTCAACAGAATTCTGCACAAAAAATATCCACATCATAATTTGTTCCCCTCTTCTTCCTTGACCCTTTATCTATCTAGAAACAGGATTTGGGGTTTTTTGTTTGTTTGTTTAAGGGTTTTTTTTGGGGGTGCAGTGGTGGTCGCTGTTTTTTCTCGTTTTAAAATCTGTTGCATTGCAAGTACACAAGTCATTTATAGATGAAAAAAAACCTACAACCATACAAACCACTACAGGCATAACTTTAGTAGACATTCTATAGTGTCATAAGAAACACAAGCTTAATAACTTTAACTGAAAGAATCCAAAGTAAAAGGAATCAATGTAGATTACTTCCTATCCTAATTATACTTGCATATGACATATGTACATACATAACTTGTATATTACACATACATATTTGTATATGTGCAATAAGCTTTTATTCTACAATAGACAGTTCCTTAAAAAAATCTTTGTAATTTTAAACAATCTGTCACCTGGTACCCATCTGAAACCCTATCGTTAGCCTTATTTCAGCTACACAATATCCTGCATACTGTAATGGCTCTGCAAATAAACCAAACATTTATCATCAGAAAGTTCTACACATTGTAAGGCACACTGTGTTAATAGATACTGTCAGCTCTGCTACTGGTTCTAAGTTAGGTATTTAAATCTCCATTTTAGGGGTAGTTGTTTCCTCTTCTGTAAAAAAGAGTGTGTTTTTTAGTAATCTTCCTTAAAGAGAACTTGGACAGACACCAATAGCAGACAAGGGTACTCACCCTTTATAAAAGTTGAATCTTAACTTTGGTCACAAAATAGAAATTCTCTTCATTTATGGCTTTTTTTTTTTTTTTGAGTGCACACATTACAACAGGTATCCTCAGCTATCTTAAAATGCTACTGCATTTTTCAAATTCTCCTGAAGTACAACTATGACATATGGTAAGTGGAAATGAAGTCACCAGACACACTGCCTTTAATATAAAACAGAACTTTAACTGAAACAAGAGTGACTTAAAGTGTAATACACAGAATACAAAGGATGGTTCAATTAAGCAATACCTGTAAGATGACTGGGTAGCTCACATTCCCAGAATCAATGTGTAAATTGTGGTAGATGAGTTCAGAGCAAATATTTCACTCAGAACAGTGTATACAAAGCTCCATAAAGCATATTATAGTGCAAAGGTCAGTCGTGAACTGACCTCAAAAATAACTACAGCTTTGCTTCAACACTTCAAAAAATTCCTTCTTGTATCCCCTCAAACTCAAAAGGGTAGGAGATGACATTCATTCTTTCCAATGTATTACTTGGATAGACCTGGATATTGAGGCGTATTTTATACAGATGAAAGCTGAAATAAGAC